CACACACCTGCAGGGTAGGGGGGGGGGGGGGTACAAAGATATAATACACTCAGTCACTTAATAAAACAGAGACTATTTCATATCTCGTTCATATCTTTATATTTATTACATCTTGTGACTTCACATTTCTGAGAGCACCAGGACCCCAAACAAAACTGTGATTGTAAATTATCTAATTATAGGTTAACAGAGCTTTCAGCTCAGGACATAAAAAAAGAGGGTTAACACACGGAGAGCTGCGATTAAAGGCAACATCTGCTTTGTTCATGCACTGTTGTGTGATCTGATATGCTCAAATAAAGCTGCATCCAGGTGTAAATTGTAGCAGGACATATAAATATGAAGGGAGCAATCATATACGCCTTGTTTTATCTCCTCACCTGGTCATCCGTTATTAATAAAAACGAATAACTTCTCTCTACCTGTTCTGCCTGTCTCTTATTTCCCGTCCAGTGAGTGGTGCTATAAACTCAGGGGAAGCCTGCATCGTTAAGTGAGGCTGAAACGTTTACTTGTTCTGCTTTTACATATAAATCCTGTTGACATACCTAAAGAATTTAATTTGCCTATCCAGGACTAACTTCTTAAAATTGAGCTATTATCTTCAGAAACACACAGAGTGGGAGAAAGTGCGTCAAATGCCATCTGAACTAGAGAAACTGTATACTGTGAGTTACAAAAGGTAGTGGGCTATCTATATATATATTGAGACTGCCAAAACAAAGTGTTCAATAAGAAATTAAGTAGACTTTTGGGTATAAATGTTACCTCATTATCTTACCTGAGAGCACACCAGATGATAATTCCAGTTATCTGTTAAGGGTTTTGCTTTTAAGAGCAATGATCACAGTCTCACAAAGCCTCTCTGTTACTGTTTTCCATTCAATTTTATTTTACTATTTATTTTTACTCAATTAGATATTTTTTTTCTGTGTTTGTTAGTTGTTCTGTTGTATGTTGAGTTGACGCAAAAAACGAACAAACAAAAACAGAATGAACTCACCTCTCCAAAGCCTCCTTTCCCTAAAACTCTGTACTGTCGGAATGTATTTTTCGTCACGGGTTGCCTGTTGGACACAAAGAAAAGCTCTTTTTATAACACTGCAACACATGTAAAAGTCCAATTAAATACAAGTTATTGGATCACGGACTCTTGGAGCATTACTGAAACTTTCATTTTTTTAAGCCACTAAAAGTCAACAACTTTGTATGACTGAAAACTCTCAGTGTTTCCACAGTGCAGAGATCTTAAAAACAGTTTTTGCATCCACAGTCAGTCAGCAGTGGATGGATTCATGAGGACCACAAACAGAGCTGATAATGAACACCAGCACCAATAAACTGGTCCCTGCTGGTACTAATGCTCTCATGTCATCTCCCGCTGGACAGTTTGGTCATTCAAGCAGGTAAATTAAATGGACCCAGGGGCCTGAACTCATTAAAACAGGATGAGTCATTAACTGCTTAATAAGCCCTGTGATGGCACCTCTCCTGCTTGTTTTTTACATGTTTTTCATTAACTGATATTGGTTTGTGTATCTCTGCATTTAGCCCCATATTGACCTGCTGACCTTCTGTTTGTTAAACATAGATTTGATGCATTCTGGTGAAGAGTGCACAGGAACTAGTTTGGCTCTGGACATGTCATTGGTGGAAACAACATTGTCTCTGTAACCCTTCATGCTCGATTCTAAATTACTGTTGATGAACAACAGTAGACTAAAGGTTCATAGCTACGCTAGCAACTTTAGAGGCTTTAATGCTGATTACAAAACAGCAAACAAAATTGTTGAATGGGTGACAAATGGAAATGCTATGTTTGGGTTCAAGTGCTACTAAGTTAACATTCAAAACTTAACCTTCACACATGCTGACATTTTCATGTTAGCATAAAGTTATAATGGCTGATGTGATATATATTTTTGAGTGTTTGTTTTAGTGTGCATGCGACACAGTGTACAGAGAAATCTGACAATGTAGTCAAATCTAATCAAATCAAATTACACAAATGCTACATTTAAAGCTATGTGTTATTAGCCACAGCTGTCCTACTATTCTACTCCATTTTAATTTTTGTTTCATTTTTGTTTTTATATTTCATATTTATCTGCTCATGGTAACACACAATGCCCAGATCTTATCAGCCACACTCTTGTTTCCATCAATGTAATACACCTTCATTTCACCTCGAAAGACCATTGAGGAGGTGTCCTCGTTTCTATTTGTGTCAAATGTAAAACAATGCAAACATAAAACTGACAATGACAATAATAATCAACAATGAATATTAGCTAAAAATTAAAATACACAATAAACATGCTATGAAGTAAAAAATAAAACAAGTAAATACAATGTAATTTCTTATACCTGTTCTATTATTGTTACTATCTACATGCTATCATTGATGTTATTAGTTAGGCCTGTTTTGTTATTATGGTTTATCGCTACTACTCTCTCTATGGAAGAGTTCATCTAAACACAGTTATTGAAATATTGATGGGAGAGGGAGAGCCACATTTAGTTTGAACTTTGAAATGTAATGTGACTGGTTGTGGGCTGCAGGTTTTCAGTTAACGTCCATGGAGTTATACTAGTCCTAAAATAAGTACCAGTAATAAGACTGGGCACCAGTTGACATTTTGGTACTACTGCTTATGAAGCCTTATAAAGCCTTTCCCGAGTTAAATAAGTTGGCAAAAAATGCAATTTAAGTCAGTTAACATCTGAATAAAGTAATAAAGACTATCTGATCAGGTATTCAATGCCATCTTTCAGTGCATGATATATTTCAATAAACGGTGCCATGGACACATGTTGGTCAGTAACACTAAAGTGCTGTTCACTTGACAAATTTAAACAAAAAGGCCTTGAGTCACAGAGAGAATACTGGTATTTTTCTTAGATTAGATTTTATCTGCAGTACATTGATGGCAATACAGAGCACAGATACCAACAGGAGAGAGTGCCAAGTATCAGGATTAAGTAGGACATTTACGTCAGAACTGCACTGGTGATTATTTAGGAGTTATGTGTATAATCTCTTAAACTTTATTTAGGGTAAGAAGGTTGATTTTAAACAGTTGGTTTAACAGTTTAAACCATTCATGCCGATCACTGAGATCACATATCTCTGTAGGACGCACTCAATGAAACTGATTGAGATTAAATCAGCAAAATAATGAAGTTGTACAGGATAGAACATAGTGACAAATGTCTTTTAAGCCTTGCTACTCCTTCCAATAGCTCCTAGCATTGCTGTAACCCGTGTTGTTGTCTTTCAGGTCTTGTGTTGGCCAAGTTCTGACCTCCAGAGGTCCTTAATTGTGGCTGCACTCTGCTTGCCTTTCATCAGCCATTACCCAGCCCTGTTCAATCAGCCCATTAGTCTGTGGGTATATAAGTCCATTCAGATGGTCAGTCAATGCTAGAGTGCAGAGACTATGTAGAGCCGGAGTATTTGTGTTTTGGCTCACCATCAGTTGAGTGTTTTTTGTTCCTATCTGCAAGAAGCTTTCAGTAAAGTCCTCAAGTGTTTGCCCTATCTCCGTATCGCATGTGTCTTCATTCTGTGCTCACATCACTTGAGACTTAAATAAACTTATGTCTTCACATAGACATACACATACACAAGAAAGGACATAACATACACAGTCATTGAAATCCAACTATTATGCTGTGTTTTGTCTCCTTAGTCACTGCACAATATCTAATAACCCAAAATGCAACTACCCTTATGCATAACTGTATTCAAAATAATAACCTGGTATTCTGAAAAATACAGGTTTTAGTCATGAACAACTTGCAGTTGTGGTGTGTCAAAAGACACACACACCCATTAACCAGAATCTACTGTTACTCTGTAAACCACCAGTTGGACTGAGACCAAGGGCAGGACTGGACAAAGTTCTTTTACTGTAGGTGTTGTCATTTTCACAAGATTTAATTTACTTTTGGTAACCACATACAGTATATCATCTCTGTTGCACTAGTCAGGTTCAGAGGTTCGTGGTATAAGAAAGAAGAGGTGAGATTACAACAAGCTAGCAATAACTGCTAGCTGACTAACAACTACTGATAAACTCACAGAAACACATGAATGAATTGTACAAGCAACAACAAAAACATTTAAGTAATAAGTTGTAGTTTTATGAAGGGTTAGGTTATTTTTCTCGGCTGGGCACAGAAACTTCCTGGAGTCTCCGCTGGTTGCCGGTCAACCATTGATCAAAGATCTATCAGTGGTGCTATGGCTAAAGAAAGAGAGGTGCAGCTATATTTTCTTTTCTTTCTTTCTATAGTTTCTCATTCTCTTTGCACAATTATTATCTTTAGGTAGCGACAAAATACAGGTGCTTGTAAGGTGTGGATCCTGCTGTTGCTAGGAGACAAGAGAAGTTTTGGACTGTCCTAGCAACTGGAGACACCCTGAAGGACAGCTGGAGAATCAGCTGTAAGCATAGCTACAGCCACTGCAAAAAAAAAGGAAATTTTACTTTTTAAATTTATTTTCTTTGGTTTATTTATTTTAATTGTGATAACATAAGCAGCTTTCCACGCTACTCTTTTAACATCTCCTAGCCTGACGTTGCTGCTGCAAGAAAATATTCCAATTATGGTGTTGGGTTTCATGTTTTCCCTGCAGCTGAAATTCTCCTGCGAGGAGGGAATTCAGTGACCCTGCGGTTCGTCAAAACTTTTCTAAACCCCACTGGATGAACTGAAAAATTCAAGGTCATCAACCTTATACAGTTACTGGAAAGCTGACATGCCAAACATGTGGGGTTTTTATCTGATAAGAAGCTTGTGGGGCTGGAGAAACAGACCTCAATCTGCTATAAATAATGAGGAAAGAAGCCAACACTGTAAGAGATTCCTGGTGGGCACACAGACACACCATCTGTCTCCACCATCTCTCGTCCTTTTGTTTTGTTTATTTTGGTGGATTCTCTGTCTTTTTCCACTCCTTCTCTATATCTTCCTCTCTTCTTCCATCACTTCATCTTGTATTTCTCTGTCATCACATTGTAGATTCAGGCCTGATCTATACTTCACTAAACTCCCTGTGGATGGATTAGTATCTCAAGCGGGTTGTTTCAGCTGATCCTTGAAGAACACCAGTTTAACCATCAAACCTAAACCCTCAGTCCACTGCAGGATAAACCTTATGTTTACAACATCGCTGAGGTTTTGAAAGTGGAGTCTGGGAACCATCAGAGGTCCCTGATGGGACCCAGGCCCAGATCAACTTTCTCTTTCTGTAAACAAACCTGATCAAACTCAAAACAACCATTATTCTCATGATAGATTTATTTCTCCACCAGCAAATTAACACTTAAGCAATTCTGTGCTGAACTACGTCAGACAGCAGAGCGACTACAGTTGAATACCAGGAACTGAGATCCCTGTTGATCCTGGGAATTCTCATCAGGATCGGCTCCCTTTTCCAGGAAACTACTTTTTTAGAATATGTTTATTTGTCTGTCTGTTTGCTAGTAATCTAACTGCATTTAACTTCTTGGCTACTGACTGGCAGTCCAACTATGGGACAACATATTTATTAATTATCTGCATTAGAAACGGGACATCACATCACATCTTCTTCAGTGGCAATTTTATTGAACATAAACTTAATGTGATCCTTTAAACCAGATTTATGGTTTACACAAGGGGTTAACAGGAATCCTGCTGCAGATATCTACTGTGCAGTGTTTGATTTATAGATCAGTTTGGGATTTCATCACTAAAACATCAATTATTGACTTATATTTAATCCCTTAAGTCATTGTTTCATTTACTTTGTGATTATGGCTGTGCGATGATACATAATATACAGAATATTGTGTGAGGTTAGAAAAACATCTGTCGTTTGATATTCTTATTTCTATTATTTCGTCAGTTTTGTCATTTAGACGACAATTTGCTCCTTCCGTTTGGCACAGATGCAGGCAGGAAACATACATATGGCAACCCAACTCGAACAAACATGTGAAGAGTGGACGTGACACAGAACGGAGAACAGGAGACGGACTCCAACCAGCCAAGACAAACCAAGAGCTAAGATGGGGCTATTCCTGTCACATGGACGTGCTTTTGGGTATGAAAACCGTACTTAGGGTTAGAGGTTAGTTATATGGCACCGCCCTGTTTATGATATAGAGTGACAGTTGGCGAGTTGCATCCAGATCACTCAACATAACATAATTTATCATTACTGCTCATTACTGAAAAAGAGACTCGATGATGAGCAGTCGCTGTGGTTAAGATAATTCATTCATAGAGAGCAACGGCCGCAGTGAGCACACTGTTTGCAGTGGAGATGATTTTAAATATCATCTGTAATAGTAATCACCAGACTGAATGGCTCACCTGTGGTCTTTGATGCCATTTATGTCACAAACACTGCATCTATGTAAATGTATTCAAAATAAAGCTTTGCTCTTTGTTCCCAGGACTCATTTTCATTTTCATTTCAGACAGGAAAGTCTGCACTAAACCAGAAATGCTGCTGCATTTAAAAATGGCAAAATGAACTCTGACTCTCTGCAAGAGAAACAGATCTTTTTGAGTAGTTTGTAAGGTTCAAATAATACAGTGACATATTCTGAGTTCTGTTTTATGTTGATTGTCTGTAACCTGATTGTTACTGTTGTCACTCTTGGCCTGAAAGTTTTAATCTCAATGAGACTTTCAAGGTAAAACAAAATAAAAATGTACATAATTTAAGGAAAAGATTCTACAATAAAGAATGCTCTTTACTGTGATCATGAGACCTGATCAGACGCCAGAATTGCCTGCTGCACCTCCTGTAGCTCTCTAATTACACTAAACAGAACCTTCTCTGGTATTATCTGTAACACAGCAGAAACACTTGTATCTAACCTTTTAGGCTAACAGCGTGTTCCTAAAGTCACGTTGCTGAAACTTTGCAGTTGAGCAACTTCAAGCCCCTGTCTTGAAATATGTAATGGTGATATCACTGTGAAGTTTGTGGATTGCGTTGTTCTTTTCCTCGTAACCCCGAAGAGATGAGGACACTGTGGAGAGGAAGAAGGAATGAGGCAACTCTCTGAGCATGTTGTTACTGGTGCTGTGGTGGAGTTTAAGGCCAATGTAGCCTCTAAATGAGCCTGAGAGAGCTTTTAAGTGGTGTGTGTGTGTGTGTGTGTAAAAGCATTATGCTGATGCACATAAAAGAGACAAACTGCAGCAAAAGGAAGAAGCAGAAAGAAAGAAACACGGACGAGACAAGGACGTTAATTTCACTCATTACGAACTTTACCTCTCCAACCACTTCCACTGAAGGAACCTGTTGTAGTACATGCTGTCGAGGTAGTCTGCGAAGGGCGCCACGCTCAGGTAGTCGTGGATCAATCTGGGAAAAACACAACAAAAAGCATTTCTAGGTCATTTTCTGTCTTTGTTGCCAAAAGTGACAACGGCTGCATAATGATATTTATTTCCCCTTCAATTAACCCAAGATTCTCTCGAGTTAGTTGCTTTCAATTAATTGATAAGTCGCTTCACAGAAGATTAACAACAATTGTGATAACTGATTAATTACTTAAAATCTATCTATAAAGCAAAAACCACATATTCCTAGGAGGCATCTCCTGGGAGAATTTGCTGCTTTTCTGTTTCATATAATTTTACACTAAATACATTTAGCACTGTTGGTCATTTGAAGACGCCACCTTGGGCTCTGGGAAAATGTATCTATATTGGTCAATCTTTGTGCATCAATTTGTGGTAAAAGGAAACAAAAACCTTTAATTGCAGCCTTAGTAGCTTAGTAAGAAGATACATTAGGTATTTTTTCATTCAAAGGTTACACTGTAACCATTTAAGTTCACTTCTTTTGCATTTAGACTTAATTAGCTTTAATTAAGGTTTTATAGACATTCTTATCTGCTCTGAATTTGATTCAATTTATAAAATCAATCGTTTCTTGTATAATTACGTTTCTACTATGTTATGGCCAGGTGTTTCTAACTATGTGTTCAGAAGAAGGCAAATAAACATAACCACTCCAATTTCAAATGAAAGCAAACACATGGATTGATTTCAGATTTAATCTTCTGAAAAAGAAGCTTAACTCAGGCAATATGCTGCTTTTACGACCTGCTGACATATGAAACAGTCTTGATTGAGGTTAATGTCTGACTGAAACACTGACAAATAAAGCAGAAGTGAGAAGGAATATTCAAATTATAGAAATCTATATTATTAGAAAAAGGTTCTGACAGGAACAATGTGAAGATGACGTTTCATATTTCAATATACATACATATATATACATAATAAATTAAACTCATTTTGCAGATTATCACCAGACTTATGCACTTAACTTTTACCTTCTCACCAGACAAAGAGGAACAAACTGCCTCAGTTCAGAGTGACTTATGTTTAGTGTCTGATATCAAATATGTTACTTTTAACTGCATATTTTAACATTTGTATTGAGATCTCCATTATGATTGTTGTATTTTATTTATATCCTATTGCTTATTGCTGCTCTGAATGTCTGCATGTGTAAAAAAATGTGTAGAATCAGTACTGCATGGCTGTGTTTTGCTGCTTCATGTTGCTTGCTTGCATGGCTACAGTACATGTACTGAATATTGGATATTGTTGCCGTATTACTGTACTAATGTTTTTTGTCTGTAGATTTTAGGCATCACCTCACTGGTTTCAAAACAAGGACTGCAGTTGAAAATTTACAGAAAATGTGTGTTGTCCTTACAAATAAAAACATGGAATAAAATAACACTGTGTACTGCAGTGTAGTAGATTACTCATGTCTTGTACTTGATGTGGCTTGAAAAACAAACTGGCCTCTGTGCTGCCTCACGCCTACGCAACAAGCATGAACAGAGCCGTTAGAGGATGTTACTCAATGTGTGAGTGTGTGTTTATGGAATGAACAATGAACTCTTCCTCATCACAAACAACATGAAATTTAATTAGAATGTTTTTCTTTCCATTCTGTCTTATTCTGTATTCTTCTTAATCCCGACAGCACCGTGAGTCAATTTCTTCTTTATCTGAAGTAGATTTTGTTCTGTGTCAGAGGTATTTTTCCCAGGGCAACAAACAACTTCAATGGTCAGAAACTGCAGCGTGCTCTTAACCACTATAACATTAACTTCCTCCTTTGGGAAACACTAAAGAAAAAATCCAGTGTAACAAACGTTAATGTCACAAGCCTAAAGCTGCTCTGTAGGGAACTTTATTGTGTGCTATCTGAAACAATATGAGACAAAAAAATGGATTTTGCAAAGCAAAGGGCACGTGTTGCTTGTAGTTGATGGAAAATGCATGCTGGGATACTTGTCTAGTCCACACAAGTCAGCTCCTAAAGCATCTTCTTAAAAATGTCACAGAATTGCGGTGTGTCGAGTCACAAATTCGACAACTACAGAGACATTAACAACAAAAAAAGAAGTGCAACTTGTTTATTTAAGCCACAGTGACTCAAGACTTCACTTGTACTTGAGCGCTGTGACTTGAAAGACTTGAGATTTTGCCAAAACCCGAAGTGGAGACAGCGCCAACATTCAGGTCAGTGTTCAGCCTGTCAGCCCTCTGCAGGGCATTTGTTTGTGCTTTTCAATGCATGATTGTAGCGTCACCACAGGAGAACAGAAAACCTCACAGAGAGAGAGAGAAATGAGGGTTTGGATATTTTGGGATAAGAGCTAACATTGATCACTGATTTTGTATTTCATGGGAAAATTGATCAAATCTGGTATGTTCCAGCAATTCAATCTGTTATGGTTAAATTCAGTAGCCCTAGCTTTGCCTACATCTCATGTGATGTAATTTCCCAAATATATCAGTGCATTGTCAGGGTAAGCTGCAGTAATACAAGTGATTTTATTCAGCGTTCATGATATCATTTCATTTGCAGCTAACTTTCTGACTGTATTCACAGTCTGAAGTAAGCTTTTGTTCACTTTTAAACCTGTAGCTCAATTAATTCAACTTCGCACTGACATTACAAATAAACCAGGTTTTGTGTTTTATTAAAGAAAAAAACAACACTTCACATTTTAGAAATGAATTAAACAGTTTAATTTATTTTTCTGAAAATGTTATATTTTTACATTATGGTCTGCTGTTTCTCTACACTGCAGGAGTGTAATCCTGGTGCGTAATATCTTATTTCTGGAAATTTTGAAGTTCATTCTATGATTACACACATATTGGTTTTTAAAGGCTGATTTCTAACATTTTTAGACAAAGATTTAATTTAGTTTTTTGTCAAAAATAATTAATGTAAAAGGGGTTTATTAATAACACTACAAACTACATGAACAATTCTGACCAAACAATGTGTCCCATTGCTCTTCTGACAGGCACTTGACAAAAATAATGGACCAGAATAAAGAAGCACACATGGGACCCCTGTGATCTTACTTGGTACAGTCCTTGAAGAGCTCTTTGCAGGCGTCCTGCTGCAGCCTCTCGGCACACTGAGCCATCATGGCCTCCTCCACCTCAGGCACGTGGTCCTCCGACTGTACCGCAAAAAAACATTGAGTCCAGGTAAACACGATGACTCAACTCTGACAGTAAACTCACAGAGGAAAGCTGGATGAACTGGGTCTAAGAAGGTGCCGGAAGATGATGCACACTCTGTAGGCTTCTGCATGTTCAGACTTGTACAGTATGTACACAGTTACAGACAGACACAGGCAAAGCACACAGAGACGAAATAATTAGGAAAACTTCAACCTGCCCAGGACTGCAGACATGGAGTAGCAATTTGTCTGAATTTGCTACATTTACTTAATAATAACGTAAATTGCTGTGGATTGTGCATCAGATTAGTGGATAACTCTAACTTTAAATTCTCTTGCCAGGTGGTAATGAGTCAGGACTGTTTTCTCTCCTTTGTGGTGCTCTTGTCAAAAATTCAATTGAGTCATTCTGTTTTGGATTTTGAAGTTTTATTTATTTATTTCCTTTATTTTTATCTTTTACTTAATTACTGGAATAAAGAATATGTTGTTTTCTTTACTTTTGCTAGAATTGTATAAATGAAAAACTTATCTGTGCTGTATTTCTATAAATTCTTAACTCAATTTTATTTTATACATTTTCTTTTTATAGCTTTGAGAAAAAAAGAACCTTGAGAAAAATAAAAACTTGAAATACAAAATCATTAAGTTTGCATTTACATCGTGAAAAGAATAACTTGTATTGTTATCAGGATATGAGAATAACTTTTGGTAGCCCTTTCAACTGTTAAAGTATCTTTCTCTGCAGGGAAACATAGAAAGTGACAGAGATGCATGACAGCAGCAGCTACCTTTGGGTTTAAGTATTTGTCGATGAGTTCTTGACCGCAATCCTTCCTCTTCTCATCTGGAGTCACCTCGTACTCCGCCTGCAGAAAAACACATCAAGACAAAATGAGCAGGAGGTGACCATCAGCTGCGATAGGAGCTCTGTCTTAATCGTCCCTCAGTTACCCAAATTTGGCAGTTTCATATCATGTCACCTTCAGATACAGTTTACTGGGGTCAAAATGATGAAAGATGGCATTATTAGATGAAAACAGACTTTGGGCAAAGGCCATATTGAAATAAAGCTAAAATATACTTTTTACTGTTATTGTGAAAAGAAGCAGGATTAAGTAGTAAGTAAGTAAGTTTAAATATTTCACAATTCCATGTTTATATATTTTGTCTGGATTTATTCAATAATTTCACAATGTTTTATTCATTTACAGTTGGTCTGATCTGGTCTCGATATTTGGTAAAGTGTGTTGATCAAGACTGAACATAAATGTAAAGCAGATTAACAGGTTCATATTAAAGATCCAGTGTGTTATATTCAGGGACATCTACTGTTAGAAATGGTACAGTGGTGATAATACAGTGGTAAAATTATTACACCAACTGACATAGTGTTTGAATCAAACCCTTTAGAAATCATTAAGGAAGTAGTTTCAATAAACAAACATTTTAACATCTGTATTTAAACATCACATGTTTTACAGACCAACAAATGTATAAAAAAAAAACACCCTCCCTTCCCTTTTTCTATTGCTGCAGGAAGTATGGGCTCCAATAAGCCATTTAGATCTCCATCTGATGGGGCGCTGATGTGAATTGCACCGCCTCCTTGGTGGCCAAGCACAACCATTGTTCTGTTCCTGCTGGGACTACTGGCTAGAGCTGAGCATTATGGTTAAAATCAGCATCACAATATTAATCTGAATCTTAATCCAACGTCGATTTATACAAATGTATGCATAAAAAAAAACAAAAATAGCCATGTTTATAACAGAGTATGCATCAGTTATAAAAAAAACTTCAATGACTTAATTGGCTTTGAGTCATTCACTTAGACTATTTGGCATTTTGTACAATGACACAATCTGATCATATCATCATGATGCTATAATGACTGTACTGAAGGTCAATAAAGAATCATATTGAATAATTGCTCAGCTGTTCAATGAAGACCTCTCAAAGTATCGACTTCAGAAAACCCAATTTAAGATGAAATTGACGAGTTTGGGGAGGTCTGTTCCACACCCTGCAGTACATGAGCTGATTGCATCTACTCCCCCTCACATCAACCATCCCTCTGAATGACTTGCAGTAAACTGAGCCTGACTGGAAAACTCCAAAGTGCTTCCTCTCCTCTCTCACAGCGAGAGCCTGTAAACTAATGCTAAGTGACAGCAGAGACGGTTCAAATCTCATTTTCCCTCTCCATCTCGTTCTCTCGCAGAGTTCTCAGAGAAGAGACGGGAAGCGGTTGTGGGGTAAAAGAGAACATAATTGCTTCGTATGTGAGTTGTATCCGCTGGACGGCTGAAAGCTGTAAAGCAGATTGGCTGAGCTGGTCAGTCAGACTGGAGCCTTGCTGCCTTCGCACAGACAGACGAAGGGATGGACGAGGTCTTCATCAACCTTTCCACCTCCGCCCATCACATCTGACAGCAAACAATTACTGATGCCCTGATTGACTGACAAACATACCTTCACTCGTCAGAGAGGGCAAACAGAACAGAATAAACTGAAGTACAACACTCTAAGGCACTTCTCTCCTCATGATTATACAAAACCAAACCAGAGATACTTGTTATATTAGTATTTGAACCTCAATCAGAATTTGAAGGTTAGACTTAGACTCACACTAGAAATGTCACTCCAGTTGATCCAGTGCTTTTGGTCCAGACTGAAATATCATACTGAGGGCCAGACATTTGCAACAGCAACAACAGCAGATGCCTTTGTATGGAGAGATTACTAGACTGTTGATAATAGTTGTTGTTAATTTTGCCAGACTAGCAAGTTTTCTTTAGGTGTGTTTATAGTGTGTCTGCAAAAGGTAACCAGCCTTAAAGGTTTTTAGGAAGCCTAGTTTAATTATCGAAACTTCTGTCACTGGATGACATGATAAGGACTGTTTCAAGAGCCTGACAGGATATTTTGTATGAAACTGACAGACAAGCTACACAAATGAGGGATTTACATTATGCTTAAACTGTAGTATTTCATGTTTCACTTTTACAAGAGAAAAGGCTTCAAGAATGAGGACTGCCTTCTTGTTTACGACATAGTAGCAGCCGAAGAAAGACAGGAAGGTGAGGAGAAAGAGAGAGGATGATATGCATGTTGTTTTTGCTAAAACAGAAAGGAGGCAAGAAGGAACAAGACTGGTGAGTAACATGATGTTTTGACCAGTCTGTGTGTTGAGGTGTGTGTGTGTGTGTTATTTTGTAGCAGTAAAGGCAGGCGGAAGAGGCTTCAAAGCAACATTTCACTTTGTGTGTGTGAGTGTTTCTGTAAGAGCGAAGGAGTGAAACGGATTATCATTTATCAACTGTGCATCCAAAAAAAGCTAAATAGCATCAATGAGACCACACACACACACACAAACACACACACACACACACACTCAAGAGGGAAAAAAAGCGTGTGACTGAAAACATATCCTCAAGTGAGGCAAGAGCGGAGCAGCGAGCCGCTCACTGTGAACAGATGAGGTCAACAGAAAAGTGTGTGTGTGTGGTATGTGTGTGTGTGTGTGTCGTGGATACAACATGGGAGGTACAAGAGGGCGACACACTGACGCACTTTTCTCTCCTTTGCTCCCAGAAGTCATGAGTTCCTGTTCCTTTCATTAAACAGATATTAAAACTCCACTTCCTCCTCCTCCTCATCCTCCTCCTCCTCACTTCCCCAAACTTCAAGTAGTTGGAAGATTTTCAAAGGACAAACTAAACTTCCTGCATAACAAAAGGCCCTACCATGAGAACCACTCACCAATTTACTCCCACCAGCTGCCCATGTAAAATAAAACACAGTTAGTTTACAGAGTCAGTTCACCCAAATCACAAAACAGTTTTGGTTTTATTTTTGGATGGGGTGCCTTGAAAATATCCCCATAAAGGGATTTTAAAAAGACCCTGAAGACAGAAAAACACTTTTGTAACACTGACATGGGTCGTGTCGGAAAAACACTCAAAATCTGATACTGTTCTCTTGTACTCGTACTACCACCACTATACTGCAGTGTGATGTTATGTAACCTCTTGTTTGTAGAATCAGGAAGTAGGTGGGAGGAGAAGCAGATGTCAGCAGTTTGGAGTATAGGTCCACGTGTGGTAACATTTGTAGGATCTATTGGCAAGAACATGGATATAATTATTCGATAGCTATGTTTTCATTTACTGTATCAATCACCTGAAAATAGAACTCGTTGCTGTTTTTGTTACCTTAGAATCAGTGTTCTCCATTCAACAAATGGCCATGGAGGCCACCATGCTGAACCACCATGTATCTACAGGAGCCCAGAATGAACAAACCAAACACTGGCTCTAAACAAGGCCGTTCAACGTCTCTTGCACATTTTGCAGCCGCCGTCCTCAAATTGTTGTGCAGCTGTTGCAGTACAAAGTAAGAGAATGCCAAAAATATAAACAGGCTAATAGTATTGTTGTTGTGAGTTGCATATAGATAGCTAGGTGTGTACAAGTACAGGTGAGTATTTATGGTTAATTCTAAATGTTCAATGATGTCCATTATATTGCATGTAATGTCCCAAATTGTGGCAATTGCTAATTGAAGTGACCCTCTAAGCACTTTGCTGTTTTAATTCTCTTTTTAATCCCTTTTTGTCCTTCCTCAAACTCTTTCTTTATCAAATCTCTTTTATTTGACACCTGCCTTAGTATTCCTCACCACAGCACGAGCTGAAGATGGTTTCAAGGTGGGAAGAAAACGAGAAAACACATATCTCTTCTTACACAGACACACACACACACACCTCCTTCCCGTCTGTAATAGAAACTGAGGAGCATTTCAAGGAAGAAACCCAAGTCCTTGAGACCTCCCACCTCCTTCCCTCACCCCACGCAGACACTTCATTCCTTTTGTCTTTCCATACTGGTAGTCATGGAAAAGGGCATTTGGGACAAAACTCTCAAACTCTCCAACTCAAACAAACACACACTTCCAGGAACAGGACAATCCATCATCCACACATCCCATCACAAACACAATCTCTTTCTCTATTCTTACCACAGCATCCAGGAACTTGACGCAGCGTCTCAGTTCTGGTCGAGTCTCACAGAACTGTCTGAACAGCAACCGTCCGATAGGCTGCCGCTCACAGAGGCTGCTGTAGTCCTTCTCTACAGAGACAGAGAAAGACAAAGTTGGTCAATTAACTGTAGCACTTAAGTTATCTTTTAATTAATTTGTTTCTCAAGCAAATTGAAGCAAAATATAACATATATCCATCAGTATTCATGCATTTCATTTTTGTTCATTTCATTTTTTTGTAGTCTCTAAAATAAAGAACACCTCATCTAATCCCAGGAAAAATTGTTACATAGTGGCGCTACATCACACAGCAAACACAGTTCTGCAGCACCTGAGGACCTTGCTAACTGATTTCCTGGACCCATTGCAGTTTGCAACCTGGAATACCCTTCCCACCCCCTCTACAAGGAGCTGTGGCAGTTTTTCCAACACAAAAACAATGTTGTTTTCTTTGTGGTGTAACGGATTTGGTTATAGTATACACAGTGCATGGTCATATAGTGGTTATTATTTAATGCCTCTTGCAGTCCTTGTTGTGATATGGCAACTCATTTGTTTGACCGATTGGTATCACCAGCGCCGCCTGAAAGTACCTGGAATTTGGACTCTGTATGATCTCTTGATGTTTCTCCCTAACATGCCCAGAAAACAAATAAAAGCAGAACTTGTGACAATGGCTACATGTAATATTACATTAAGTTCCTTCACTGGAAATGCGTCATCAGACATGAATCATTATCTGCCATCCACATGTTATTAACCTTTCCACAAAAAGTCACTCTGGGCTTCTACTGTGGAGGTTCTGTTTTATAAGCGGTACCTAAAGTGCGACTGGACATTTAACAGTCAACTGGCAGGTTGAATAAATGCTCAAGCAAGCCCTGGATTAGCCCACTCAAACAAGGGATTTGAACCTCCAACCTCTTAGTAACAAACCATCTGGTATAATAAATCGAGTTATCAACAATATGATTCAGCAGAAATTTAAGTGAGGCACAAAACAACATTGAATGACGCAAACACATTTAATAATCAAATATCAGCACGCACAGCTGCTGGTGTGAACACCTACTTTATGACAATATTTGCATACATCATTCACTGGAACATTGTTATTAAAAGGTGCAGGTGCAAACTTACTGAGGAGATACAAAAGTAAATAGCAGGAAAGACTGAAAAAAGTACGAAAACAAAATAACAAAAACACGTGAAAGTAAGAACAATGACCGATCAGAAAAAGGTTTGACGTTGAGGAAGGTGGGACTTTGTCTGTTGGCGAATTTATATCGTTTGTAGGTCGGTGATTCCTAAAGTGGGTGCCTTAAGGATGCGCCAAGGATGTAGCATGATTAGTTTATTTCATTTTTTGACAGTACGTTTTTAGTAACGTTAAAAAAATTAGGTGACATTAACATTTACTGGAGTAAAGACAATGAAAAATAAACGTCCTCAATACATGATATAATATTATATTAATATTTTCAAAAACACTGGTTATATATAACACCTATAACACATCCAACCCCTAAACCATACTAGCCGCAGTGGTTTTAGATAAACAGTATATCTGGGTTGTTGGGGTTATCTGTCCAGCCTTGCTTTAGGACAAAAAAAACATCAAGGAAATGTTGATTTGCATCTCTGACTCATGTGGATGCAAAGCGACTCAGGAAGCTTCACACACAAGCAAATGTGATTCAGGGAGGAGAGCAAAATGACCTGCAAAACCTTTCAATCAGACCAGTCGGACTCACGAGTCAAGTCAACCCGATATGCCACACAGAATCTCTGGGGGCCTTACAGGCAACAATTCAAGGCAAGTCCAAACTCGAAGACAACAACATTCTGAACATTTAAATTTCACACCAAAACACACCAAGTGTATTCTTCAGGCCTAACAAATATGTTGTGTTTATTTCCTTCCCCTGAAAACATTTGGAACATACACATTTGCATTAAAAAATAAAGGTTTTGAATATTTTAAAATTATTTAGCATTTTTTACATCCATTTGACAGCAGACTTTTTTATCCCTAACTTTTTCTTGCCTATCTTTTTCTTTGTCTGCTCGTGCACATACAAGTACATCCCCAGGCCTGACACAGCACACACCCACTCATCAAACCATATCACCTGGGTGTGTCTTTGCCAGAGCAGCTCATTCCTCTGAAGCTTGAAATTCCCTTGTGTATGTGTATAACACAGCTTATAAATACTTCTTAACCAAGCAGTACTTCCCAACCCATGGAGCTGCAGATAAAATCATTATTTTATGATCACATCGTCAGACAAAACCAACATAAATACAGGTTACCTGCAAAAAGCGGTCCTGTTCAATTGGGCGTAGAACTAAAAGATCCCATACCCTGTTTCCTATCACTTACGTTATTAACAACATTCCTCAAACAAGGCTGTTTCCATTGTTTGGTTCTTTCATAATCAGAGTTTATGATCTGATGTACCTATCTATAAAACTTTCTGGAGTGCAAAAACATGTGGAAACACAAATTCAACGTTTAAAAAATAGGCCTGTTGATTTATGAAGTTGTTAAGTTTTAACCAGAAAGTATTTGCTTTTTTCTAACCTGATGAATGACTGAAATGACTGATTACAAAACTGGAATTGATAACTTTGAAAGAATCTATTGATTGAAGGGATATTTTGCACTACCATAAAGTTGGAGAATTTTGAGAGTGGGATTTAAAAAAATGTTTTCAATTAAACAAGCGGAAGTGGAGATATCTTGTCTTTAAGTCCTTTATTGAGCACGACTTGGGCGGAGTGCTTATCTAATTGTTTCAAGATTAATGTTTTATTGTCACGTTCCTGAGTCATTTCCTACCAATGACACAGTGACTGATAGTAACTGATAGTAACTGACCTTCTATCAGGTTCTGCTCTGTTTTTTCCCCACTTTATGAGTTTTTTCTGCTCTACTTATCTCTCTTCTGTTTCGCTCTGTTACGCTGCTACGTCCTCTTTGTTCTCTTCTGTTCTACTCTAATGATCTCTTTTCTCTCTACTCTGCTCTAATACTTCCTACGTCCTGCTGCAAAGTGGACAGAGCAGGACAATTTGAAGTAAATGAGAGCCGAAGGCAAAAAGAACAATTAAGAAAACTGGGGGGGAAAAGAAAAAGAGAGGACGGAAGTTGAACAGAGTGGGATATCTGGAAGGCGACAGGAAGAAAAATCCTCAGGTTGTTCCAAAACTTCAAGACTAATGTGACTCTAATTACCATTGCTAATTAACAGGCTATAAGGCCTGTTTACAATAATTTCATGCCCATTATTCTCCGCTCAAAAAATTAGCTTCATTAAATTTCATGAGGCTACTTGGCCGGTCCCACACTGGCTGCTCATGCGTGAAATATAACATCCCCCAGTTCCGGGAACTTTTCACTATTGTGGACTTTTTCAATACATCACTGGAGGTGTGATGTACATGAAAGGAGCTCCAGGACTGTACAGAACATGCTGTTCATCATTACACAGAGAATTTACACAAAGAGGCCTCTGTGTCTCTGGTCTCCAGCTGGCTCCGCAGGCCTCAGGGTCCCTACAGTAAAATTATTATGCCACGGGTTTGAAACCGGATCAAGGCTTCTGCACTTCTGACTGTTTCCCTATCTTTATCTAATGATCGGGGGGGGAGTAAACAAGTTGACATGTGGTGGATTCTCACCTATAACTCTAGTAACACTGTAGTACATGTAATGGGTTTTCTTTGTTTTACTCATGCTAGCAGCGTGGCTATAGAGATGCAAATTTAGGTCGATGGGCACTTTACCACTTTGTTCCAGACTGAAATATTTAACAGCAATATCATGACATTTTTCTACAGAAATTCATGGTCCTCAGGGGATGGATCCTACTGACTTTGGTGATCCCCTGACCTTTCCTCTAGTGCCACCACGAGATTCACATTTGTGGATTTGAGTGAAATGTCTCCACTACTGCATCGATTGCCATGTAATCTGCCAAAGACACTTATGTTTCCCTCAGAATTAAATGTAAACTTCATCTCCTAATGCTTCATCTAGCGCCACCATCAGGTCAAAATTAAAACATGTCTAATACTTTGAATTATGACCAAATACCAGCAAACCTAATAGCATTCTCAGAGTCAGCTGCACTTTGTGTTTATGCTAATTAGCAAACATTTGGCATGCTAACACGCTAAATTAAAGATTGTGAACATGGTAAACATTATGCCTGCTAAACATCCACATGTCGGCGTTGACACTGTGATCATGGTAGCGTCAGCCGAAGTGCAGCCTCACAGAGCTGCTAGCATGGCTGCAGATTCTGGGTCTTGGCTGTGACTAATCCAAACATTTGTGTTTGGTCAGTTAAACTATAGTTTGACTTGTCACAAGGGACCGCAACATATATATCAGTGATCAGATTAGTCAGGAGTACAATGCTGCTATTTCTGTGATGTTACATATAAACGTTCTTGTGCAGAGCTGCTGACAGAAAAGGGTTCTGAAGCCACAGCAGATTAATTTAAAATCGAGTGTGGCCCTAACTTTAGTGAAATAAACTGTTACTAATGTGTTGCATGAGACTGATTATTTTTTTAATTGCTTCATGCTTCCTGCAACTAGTTGCGTAAAAAGGCCAGCCTAAGATAAAGTTTCTTTAATGGCCTGTAGATGGGGGCTCAGAGCGTTGAGGAGGAGGGGGAGAGGAGGAGCCAGCATCTATCAGGACTCAAGATGCTTTCATTTGCCATTTGTAGAGAGAACAAGCACATGTGCACACAATTACCTGCACGTGTTTCTCAGAAAGAAGCACACAGACAACAGCAGCAAACCGCAAGGGTTAAGAACAGCAACGGCAAAACAAAAAACAGCAAAACATTAGACAAATTACATATGTCCTCTGTTGCCTTCATGAAACTAAAGTGACACAAACACCAATACTATGTTTCCACTTTCAAAACAGAAAGTGAACACAGTTCACAGCTACAACCATAATGGTGATACACAAAAGTGGAATTAAAATGACTGCAACAAAATATTTGTTACTACTATTTACTTCTCCATATCTGTCTTATAAATTACATCAGGCCACATCAAACCAAC